ACATGTTGTTGATCGATGGAGGGAGCCTGAAGATTATACGGAAGCTTGTCAAGCCACGGATGCTAGCAAGTGGGAGCTTGCCATGAAAGACGAGATGAAGTCTTTGATCTCAAATCGAGACATGGGAACTAGTCAAGTTACCTATGGGAAAGAAAACACTTCACAGACAAATGGGTGTATCGAGTGAAGGAAGACCATGATGGTTCTAAGAGATACAAAGCTCGATCGGTCGTCAAAGGATTTCAGCGAGAAAGAAGGAGTCGACTACACTGAAATCTTTGCTCCGGTTGTAAAGCTTAATACTATCGGGATCGTGTTAAGTATTGTGGCTAGTGAGGAGTTCTATCTAGAGCAATTAGATGTGAAAACCGCATTTCTTCATGGAGATTTAGATGAGGAGATCTACATGCACCAGCCTGAAGGTTTTTCAGAAGGAAAGAAGAACTTGGTGTGCAGATTGAAGAAGAGCTTGTATGGCCTGAAACAAGCTCCAAGACAGTGGTATAAGAAATTTGAAAGCTTCATGCACAAGGAGAGTTTCCGGAAGTGCAACGTTGATCAACGTTGTTTCTTCAAGAGGTATAAGTCCAGTTATATCATTTTGCTACTTTATGTTGATGATATGCTAGTAGCGAGGTTCGAGATATGAATGAGATCATAAACTTAAAGAAGCGAGTTGTCAAAAGAATTTGACATGAAGGACTTAGGCCCAACAAAGAAGATTATTGGAATGCAAATCACGAGAGATAAGCAAAAAGGAGTTTTGCGGTTATCTCAAGCGGAGTACATCAACCGTGTTTTGCGAGAGATTCAACGAGGACAATGCCAAACCGGTCAATACACCTTTGGCTTGCCATTTTCGTCTATCCAAGGATCGAGTCTCCTCAAACGAAGGAAGAAGAAGAGTTAATGGCTAAGATTCGGTATGCTTCGACCATTGGAAGTTTGATGTACGCGATGGTCCGTACGAGGCCGGACATTGGCCATGCGATGGGAGTTGTAAGCGGATTCATGTCAAATCCAGGAAAAGCTCATTGGGAAGCGACCAAATGGATTTTGAGGTATCTACGAGGCACTGACGGAAAAATGTCCGTATTTTAGAAAAGGAGATCTAAAATTGCGGGGCTACGTAGATGCGAGACTTTGGAGGTGAAGTTGATCACAGAAGAAGCACCACCGGGTATGTGTTCATCTGTTGGAACTACGATTGTTAGTTGGATGTCGCGGATACGGAAGATTGTTGCTTTATCCACTATAGAGGCTGAGTATGTAGCAGTGACAGAAGCCAGCAAAGAATTGATATGGCTTCAAGGATTGTTGGCAGAGTTGTGATTCATTCAAGAAAGGAGTGTTTTGCACAGTGATAGTCAGAGTGCAATACATCTGGCAAAAAATTCAGCATTTCACTCCAGGACCAAACACATCGACATACGTTATCATTTCATCAGATCTCTACTTGAGGATGAGATGCTAACATTAAAGAAAATTATGGGAAGCAAAAACCCAGCAGATATGCTAACAAAGGTGGTGACTATTGACAAACTGAAGTTGTGCTCAACTTCAGTTAGCTTACAAGAATAACAGACAACAGAAGACTACTATTGATCAAGGTGTGTGGACAGATTGAAATCGGTCCTCAAGTGGGAGATTGTTGGTCAAAGAAAGTGGGCAACCAACTTTCTCATTTGCACTGAAAGCACGGAAGAAAAGGGTGGCTGCCAATTTTTTATTCAAGCATGAGGTACCCACGAGACATATTTTATGGTAATGCACAGTACCAATTTTTGCTATAAATTGGTCTTCTTCCTGCAAGCATAAGCATTCCATCCCACACAAAAATATTACTTCTCTTAGAGAAGAAAGAGTGGCACCAGCGAGAGGCAGAAAAACTAGAGAGTTTTAGTTTAGCTTCTGGGTGTAATTGGGTTGTGAGTTGTGAGTGTTTTTTGAGAGTGTTTTGTAAACACTTATGTATTTTTCTTTTCTCCTACTAAGAGATCTGCAGTAGTCCGGAGACGTAAGCATTATTGGCCGAACTCCGTTATCAATTGGTGTGTGCAATTATTCTGCTTTTATTTCACTTTCACAGATCTGACCATATGGGAAGATTCAGCATATTTTTCCCAACATTAAGCATCTTGAACTATGGTTTCAGGAACGAGGACAATAATTGACGTTTCCTGTTTTGAAGGTTTGAAGACAAAAATCCACATCCGTCTACGCATTTTGTGATTCTGCAGTGATGTATCTTAGTTTAGGTCTTCTGTTTCAAATGAAACTTATGCTGGGCCGACTATTTAGTTATGATTCTTGTTACAAACTATTGTTCTGGCCCTTGGAATATCTTAGGTCTCTTCCCTACAGTCTTTGATGATTTCCAAGTGGATGTAGTTTGATAACATGGATTGCATGCAACGCTGTCATACTTTTGTGGTCATATAAAATATATCTAGTCATTGGTTGCAGTTTGATAATACTTGAATTTTTATTTCATTCTTAATCGCATGGACATTGATACTGTTGGACAGGCTCAAGACTACTTGAATTGATGATGGAGACGATGGTGATAACCAAGAACTTGAACCTGTTATCTTAGTTTGTCAATCAGCCCAAGAATCATTGTTCTACTTTTGTCAAAATCTCCCGATCAAAGTTCGTTGCCTTGCTACCATCTCATTGAAATTTCTTACATTTTGCTTTATTGAATAAACACTTCACATTTCTGATGGTTATATGATGTGTTTTTTTACGTGAAAAATAGGCTTGGCGTGATCCTCTGAATATCCCATCAGGGAGGTCTTTGACATTTTCAATTTTTGGCATTAGAACATGAGGTTAAAATTCTTTTGTCGTTTGAACTCTTGCAATGCCTTCTATCCCAAATTGAACATGTTAACAAAGATAACAAGGATATGTGCAGAGCAATTGCATACAAATTGTTTTTTTTTTCCAAGAATATTCAATCAAAATTTAAGTTCATGTATGGGCGTTATGACTACTAATGCACACACCAGTTAAGCACCTGGAACTTTGGTTTCTGTTAAGGGGCAGTAACTGATGTTAGCTGTTTTGAAGGTTTCTAGATAAACTAAATCCATCTTTCTAGGCTTTTTGTGATTCTGCAGTGACATATCTTAGTCTCTTGTTCCAAATGAATCTTTTGCCGGCCAACTATTTTTCTGGCCCTTTGGTAGATTTTAGGTCCCTTGTGTGATAACTTCCTTGATGATTTCCAATTATGGAGCCACCTGCTAGCCTGTCACACTTTAACTGTAGTGGTTATAATGAGAGACCTTCTGGAACTGGAGTTTGGTTTACTCATGGTCATAATATTTGTTGAGAGTCATGAGACCATTATACAAAATTCATATTTTTGTTTTATGAATGTTTACTTGTTAAGGGAAATTTGTGCCCTCGAAGAAAAAGCGGGTGTTCCTAAGTGTCTAGAGTTCCTTTGGATTACATATTTTGAATTTGTAGAATTGCAATTATTCATTATGTTTTATGAGTTTTATACATCATTAGATATTTATCTTACATATATTATATCTTATATATTCTTAGAATAATTGCTCTACTGGGTATGTTTCATACATATACTTTTTGTATGAGTTGCACTATGCCTTTATCATGAAAAAATAAATACAAGAGTACTGTGATATAGCATCAAATTCATTTTAAAACCAATTATCAAGCAAAATTACCTAACAGATATATATACATCACATTCTAAGATTTGAGATAGATGATATGGAACTTCTCAATGCATCTACATTACTTGCTCTTTAAGCTATTTTTTGTAATTGGTGTCATACCTAAAAAGGAGACAAGCTCCTAAGAAGTTGAAGACAAGCATGGTATTGCTCTGGGAATTACTAGATAACAGTGTTTAAATGAGTCCATTAGTCTTCTTTTCTTAAATGTGATTCCTCTAATAATCTTTCTCTCTTTCAACTATCTGGTCGTGAGTTGACACGCAGCACAAAATTGCTTGGCAGCAGATGAAACTTTCTCTACCTGTTGGTCCACTCGACAAAAAGTTCAACAACATCCCATTGGAGTCTCAAAGGTCACGATGGTTTAAGGCATGCATATTTTACAAGGTTTTATTTGCTTATTGTTAATAATGAAAAATATAGTCGCTTTAAGACGAAGTAAAAAAATGTTAAAACTAATTGTAATATTGTGTGCATAACAATCTAATTCTAATTAAAGGGGGTGAGTGGCAAGATATGTAAATTTGTTTCTGCTATTAAACTGTAACATGCTGAACATTTTTACAAGATAAAGCACAAGCAAGTAATTAAAGGTTACTGTGTAAAATTTTGTACTTCTTAGTTCACATTTTGATATCATTACCGTACAGTTGAAAGCAACAACGTGTGGCCTGAGTTTGAGATCATCATTGAAGATGAAATTGAAATAGTAGATAGACATCTGAGGATAATACCTTAGTTAATTCTTTGATCTCAAGGAATAGGATTGATGACATTGAGTTCACTAATGGGATTTTTTTCATCAACATATTTATTTGAATGGGACTAGGCTCAAATTATTGGATTTAGGTTTTGTAGAGAGAAACAAACATAATTGGATAAAAAAGTATCACGAAAATATTCAGTCAAATTAATCTATAAAATCATCAGCAGGAGTAGTGATATTGTACATCAATGTCAAGGTGACCTTTCTCAAAAAAAAAAAAAGTATTAACAAAGGTTGTAAAGAAGGATGGGTTAACGGTTGACGATTTCAAAAAGAAAATGAACTTATTTAAGAACCTACATACCTTAGACCAAGAAATCTATTTCTGGATGTTTATTATTATTGAACAAGGATCAATTTCAGTTATGCTGCAGGTGATCGACAGAATAGGACTAGAATCACAACCCATTAATTCATTATAAAAGAATCGAATAATAAATCTTGTATATCCCAGCTAAATACATAAAATTGAATTATAAAGCGTGGCCGTTACATAACAAAAGATTAAAAAGAACAAATCACAATCTTGCACGCAGAGTGTCCCTGCTGACCAAAAGAAAGACAGAGAGGGAGTACAAGGAATAGATTTAAGACAAACACATGTCTACAATGTTTTCCTGGGATGAGAAAGCCTTGAATATTTACAAGTGTGCTAGACCACACCTCAAGACATGCCCAACCCTATTTTTATCTATTCTCTTCATGTTATAATTCACACTTTCACATATATCATTTTTTCCCCCAGCAAAAGCAGCAACTCTGAAGAAAGATAAAAACAATGAAATATCAGTACGATGAAGAAGTCCAAAGTTAAAGATGTACTGTCAAAACATTAAACAGAAGTTGCAGGCGTACCTGAGCTTTGTCATCAGCAGGTTGGTTCCGAGCAGCATATTGTCTAGCATTAGGCGTTCCTGGCATATGTCCAGCCCCCACCTGCTTCTCCTTCCGCACTTTGTTGAAAATATGAGTGTAGCCATCAGCTGATGCAGGGTTGCTCTCATCCCACTCACCAAACTTTGGAACAGCAGCACCTTTATCAGGCTGCCAAATCAGAATGCTACAAATTATAAATTATTTGCCAAGGAAAGTCTCATTAAGATTCCTAAATAAATCCCCCGTGATCTGAAAACTGATCAACCAATGATGCAATATTATATTCATGATTTTTACATCTCTTGCCACATGTGGTAGTAAAACAGGAGGATAGAAAACTTACAGTTTCATCCCCTCGGTTAGATGGTCTTAGCCGGGACCTTCCTGGGGTACCATGGCTGCTCTCATACGAATTTTTTACTTCCCAAGAAGGACTATCTCTGCCAGGGGTTTTTGCTTGGCGATGCAGGGGTGAACGGTCAATGTTGTGTTCAGATCCAGTAGTTTGTCTTGAAGGTCTTCTTCGGTTCTCAGCAGAACCTATTCCCTGGCTTCGATGGGTAGAGTCAGTGCCACTCCTATTGCTTCCATTGTCATGGCGAGCTGGAGAGTCAGTGAAACGTTTAGCATCATCATCCTCCTTGCTCTTTTGCAACTCATATGCAGATATCACTGCTCCCTTTCCAGATGGATCCTCTGAATGAACTCTTGGTTTTGAATGGGGTAGGTCAGCAGAAGAAACTTGATCTGAATTTTTCTTGAGCTCATTTGGATTAGTCACCTTTGAACAGGGTTGACCTTTGTGGGCTTTGTCAGAATAAGCTGTATCTGAATCATTTTCTTCATTCTCCCGAGTGCCAAACTTTGCATCATGAGAATGTTGCTGCTAAATAGAAACATTAAAAGGGTCATATTAAGTAACCGATACAAGTTTTAAACGCTATGGTATGGATGTCATTCCAGTATCACAATAAGAGCTATCAAGGGAGAAATTAACAAAGAAGGGAAATGAATGATATGGCTCCTTTAGCTTTTCTTTGTAATAAGGATCCTTTTTTGGCATTTCAGGAGATTGAACATGTTACAAGATTTCCACAGTAAATTGATGTTGAAAATGGCTGCACACTGCAGTATATACCATATAGAACTGGGATCTATTTCACTTTGAATGTAAAATGATAGACCAGCTAGCAGAGGATGATACCATTAAACTCAATTTAAGTCTAAGATATCTTTTGATCAGAATGTGTCTATACATGAAGAAAGAAGCAAATGAAAGGTGAAACATAGAAAACTAAGTGCATGTTTGGAAATCTGTTCCAAATACTTCAAAGGTACTTTTTACTAAAAAGATACACTTCGCTTCCTGCTACCAACTCTTGCCATCCCAACACCGGATCCCCAAACATACCTTAAATTTTCCCAAACCAAATGTAGTATTAAACATTAAAAAATTCTAGCATTTCTTTAAGCAAAGTAAAATACTACAAGCAGTGCATACCCAGAAACAAAATTTCTCCATCTAAAATATTTCTCATCCATTATCACCCATCAAAACAAATCCCCACGGAACTCTCAAATGCTGGAAGAATTATGCACATAAAAACACTAAATAACCTTTTACAACGTGTCATGCAACTGAACAATGCAAAATATACTAGAATACATAATCAAAAGCAGAAGCCTATAATTCTATATTTTAGGATATGATGTTTTACTTGTCCCCACAATAGTAAGTGGTAAAATATTATTCATAACCTAGGTAAAAAACAATAAAGCAGATACCTAGGAAGTAATGTAAGAGAAGTCTTCTTTTTCCTGTATGTATGAGACCAGGGAAGGAGGCATGGGAAAATGGACTTAAGAGGGATCAAACCCCTACAACCAACAGCAGGCCCCTAATCTTAAAGATCAGGGGAGGCTGTGTAAGCTAAAACTCATCAATACAGAAAGGTCCTTAACCACACCTACTGAACCAATGCCAGAGAATTGTCCAAAATTAATTAGTATTCTCATTAACAATTATACCTGCATTTGAAATTCAACTTGCCCCTCATCTTTTCTAATCTTCATTCATTCTCCTTGCTTTGTTTTTAATCTCTTTTTCCCTGTGTGGTATGTTATCTCTCAACACTTATTATATTTAGGTAACTTATATCCATTTACACATTAGTAATCATCACCATATGTTAAAAAAAATGCATTTTACTATAAGGATTTTAATTTTTTTTTTCATCAATTCTTGCATTTATTTTCTTTACATACATACACCTTTTTCACTACCAATTAATCACCATTAATATTCAACTTTTTGATAAAGAAATTTTAAGGCCTTGCAGCCATATTGATCCAAAGATAGATAGAACGTTTAAAAGATTCATGCAATTTAAAATTTATTATTTACTAAGCTTGTTTACTTGTTATTTGCAGTATCATGGTATTTTAAGATGTCTGTTAGTTCGACTTACGTAATCAAGCCTACAGTTTCCACACTTTACAACAGAGTCGGATGTTCACATATCACTCCATTAAATTCAAGTGACCAACAGTCAATAAAGTCCATGTTCTTCTCAACTCCTTAGGAATAGGAAAAAAGAGAGACAGAAAAAAAAAAACTTTAATGTTGAAACTGGCTCATAGAAGACTCTTTCTCCGAGTCTCTTGTGCTATCATATAAATTCAATCTGAATACTCTTTCGGGACTGAATTAACTTCAAGAAATTTCCTTTGATTTTGAGGAAAAGGCTACAGATTAACTACATCTCTAAGGCTTGCAAGAACATTTCCAACAATCAGGTTCCAAAGAAGCAAAGTTATTATCATTGTGTTAGGACTATGAGAAAGGGGGAGTTAGTTAGGGAAGTTATTATTATTGTCATTGTAAATTGAGCATTAGCACCATTTGCAAAGGGGACACGCCTTGAAGAGAGATTTCTCTTCTATTCATTAAAATATTTCTTTTCTTTCTCATTTCGGTTCTTGGTTCCCAACATTCTGTAATACATTATACACCACCTAGTACCTGATACAACTCAAAATACAAGTTTTAGCACTGTTGTTATATGAACTCATAAATGATTTTGTAAGTCTAATCTTTTAAAAAGTATCTTTCATCCTATAAGGCTGATTCTTGAAAATTTACTTGTTGAGAAGAGCTTTAGAGCCATTGTTATTAAAAGTCTTAAAATTATTAAATAAAAAGGGTAACTTGGTGCTACAAAGCTCCAGCCACGGTGGGGTCCAGGGACATGCTTTGACCCATTAATGGAACACAAAAAGATGATTATGTTGGATGGAGTTACTTGGGATTAGGATCTGATCATCCGGTTTCAGTACTAAATTAGTCTATAAAAACCCCCATGATTAGAGGGTTCAATTTCCCTGATCGCCTCAGTTTCCTTACCATGTTATGCATTATGTTGGACCACCACAAAAGTAGAATTAACTATCCTTTTCTGGCTTTTCATCTTTAAAAAGCAAGAAATTTTGTTAACTATAGCATGATTGTTGTGAGATGTTTTGTAAACCAATTATGACAAAAAGAAAATTAGCTAATGATATGAAGTTCCTATTTTCTTTGCTATGCGACCAGATCATCAGAACCTAGCTCGAAAATAATTTTATCCAACAAATTAATCTTTTTTTCATCTTATAGTTGGCACTTTGGTTGTCTATTTTTGCTTACCTGAACAAAGTTGTAGACACAGCTTTTCAAAGTTACTTAGACATCTCTAGCAAATATATAAAGCCTGCTAAAGTCATTAATTTTTGAAAGAAATAATAATAAAAGCTTCTGAATTAACCAAAATTTGCTCATTGCCTCATTTTGAACTTGATATATACGGTATGGATATAAAATATAGACGAATTAGAATGTGTAAATATATATATATATATATATATATATATATATATATATATATATATATATATATATATATATAAAGCAAACTTTAGTGGAAAGTGGAAAAAGCAACATGTTTTCCCCCTTGATATATAGAATAGTATAATATCTCTAAAACAAATTAAATAAAGAAATCTTTTGTAAGGTTTCTATTTTTTAATCTGGATCCCTAAAATATGCAGAAATTAAATGCAACACAGTATAGCTCCATCCACTCAATAACATAGCACTATTCTACATTAACAGCTTTATCTTTATATAATGTTGTGAAGTTTTTAGTCTTTAGTTTATACTATTTTAAACTTCTAGACATGGGATAGCATGTGCAGCACCAACATGTACTGTTCGAAAAGAAAAAAAATTACAAATATATGTTAATTCAACCAAAATTTATATTTAAGACTAAGAACTTTTGTTTTTCCAATAATGCTAATATTAATGCACATACAAGGGACATGCAAACCTAACAGACTTAGAAGTAAAAAATCCATGAAAACAAAAGAATCCATTTCATCAAGCAAAGTTAAATTTCAATAAACATGATTTATGACCCTTGTTTCCTCCATGAACTCAAAATCATAAATATTAACATGAATTGTCTCACGATCCCAATCAGCAGAGAAATAAAGGGATAGCAATCATTAGAAAAATAAAATTTTGGCCAACTGAATCAAAGCTTCAGAACATGAAGGTATGAACAGTAAAGAGAAAAGAAAAACTAAAATAAAAAGGAACTGCCCTCGAACAAAAGATTACAACATAATGCAAGAGATTGAAACTCTGATTCCCTACCCTTTTCCTCAAGTTTTGTCAGCAGCAAGGGACACACGCAAGACAAGGAAAAAGTGAAAGAGGAGAGAGAAGTGAAGAACTCACAGCCATTTCCTGCTGAGCTGAGCTTGGAAAAAAAAAACACTACCCAGAAGTCGTAGAGATGAATTGCTGAAGAAAGTTGAGATTTTTGTTTGGATCAGAGCGTGGAAAGGTGAAAGGTTAGAGAACCCGACAAGTATCACCACAGAATGAAAAGACAAGAAAGAGTGAGAAAGAAAGAAGCTTAAGAGAGAGGTTTATAAACCACAACAACCGGCGCCACCGATAATGTTTGACCATTCTCATTTTCTCTCTGTAATTTTTATGTTTCTTCTCTTTCAATTTCTTACTCTTTTCCCTCTTACTCCCATGTTCTTCCGAGTTTTCTCTTTTCGTTTCTTGCTATTAGATAATTCTTTTAAGGCTTTGTTGATTTTAAGTAAGAAATAAAAAAGAAAAAATTGAAAAATAAATAAAAGTATTTTTTTTATTATAAAATTTAATTTATGTTAAATAAAGTAAAAAAATATAGAGATAAAAATAAATACGTTCCACTGTTTTTCTTTTTTCAAAATTATTTCTTCATTTCCTTTTTAATCAAACCATTTACATTGATTTTTATGTGTCTCTTCTCTTTCTTTATATCACTTAATTGTCCAAAAATTTTAAGAGTAACAAAAAAATATTAAAAAATTTAACATTAATCTATTACATTCGAGATACGACATCATCATCCACTGAAAAATATACAAATCTAATTTTTGTGAAAAATGAATGTTTGTATAAAATATATTAAAACCAAAAGTTCAATAATTCAAGCATAAGTGGTGTGGTTCTTAAACAAACAGGTATATTTCTTAGAAAGGCATGAACTTACGCAAGCTTTTAGTTGTAATATTCCAACTATTATAAATAAAAATAGAGGAGTTGGACAATTAATTAAAAAGTAAAAGTTAATTCAAATTGTTTTTTTATCCTATATTTCAACTACTTATATTCATAAAATACCATCAAAATTCGATAAATAATTGTTGTTTTGTTATATTTTAATGTAAGAAAATTGTAGACATTATCTTCTTGTTTTTTGATAATTTTAAATTTATATATTGTTGTTGTAACAAAATCGACTAAGAAATCATATGTTTAATATATCTTAATTATAGATTATAATTATTTCATTTACAATTTTAGATATCTATGTATTTAAAAAAAAACATACCTTATATTTTTTATATAATTTAAAAAATATTCACAAACTAGGTAAATATAATCAATAGGTAAAAAAAGTTATTTGAAATTATTTTATATTTTTATATTAAAATTTTGTTAAATTTTAATTCATTTGTAATTATATTTTGATATTTTTTTCCATAATTTTTTATGATGTTGTTACTTTTTGTAATTCATAACATTTATAGTTAAACATAATTGACATATATAATTTAGGTATATGGTAATAGAACAAAATTGATGTATGCGGGTGCAGTTCTATTTACTTATTATATATAATTAAATAATATTATTAGTAGATGTTTTAAATTATTAACTTATAAAGAATATTTTAAATTGATCACACTGATAATATATGAAAGATATTATTTAATAAAATGTTGTTGTAGCTTATTATTTTAATCTAAAACAAAGGATGAAAGGTGACTTTTTAAATTAAAAACCATACAAAAATTATAGATAGAAGTAAAAATATTTGTTTATAAATATTTTTGGAAACAAATGAAAAAAAAACATTATTAAGTTAAAATTAATTAATGTGCAACTTAATTTGTAAGAACCTTTTTTATAATTTTTAAAATTAAAGTTTTAATTTATATATAAAATTATTTTAGTTTATAACAAATATTATTTCACTTTTCTATCTCTATTTTTTCTTTCGAATATTTATTAAGAAATTAATCAACATATTCTAAATAATTTGTGATTATATAATATAAAATTTATTATAATTAGTAAATTTTAAATAAAATAAATAATGTAAGAAAATAATAAGAATAGTTGTGTTTATCTTAAAATTATAATAAGACATCATGCATCATAATAAATATCTTATTTTTGAGATTAATAAAAATAAAATAAAATATATTATAAGTGAAAATCATATATAATGTTTAGAAGATAAAAAAAAATTATTAAAAGAATCATTTCCTAAATCACAAAGCAGATGAACTCATGTGATAAACTTTAACATTTATTCTATATTTTTCTTTTGACTCAGAGGTAGAATTTAGGTGGAACCTGACACCCCCACCCTCCCCTCAAATCAATTTTTTTTTATATATATAATAACTTTTTATAAAAAATAAATATAAATTATTTTATAAATATAAATAAAATTTAATTTTGTTATCTTTTCTTCTCTTAATTTTATTTATAATAAATATCATACGATTTTTTGTTTTTTTTTTCTTTCATTTTATTTTAAAATTTTTATCTTTCTTTTTTTTATCTCTCTATTTTCTCTCTTTAACTTTTTCTTTCAAACATTCATTTTATCTTTTTACATTTCCATATTTTTATTTTTATCACTTTTTTACTCCTATATTCTTCTCTATTACGTTTCACCTTATAATGTAAAAAATTTAATTTTTTCTTTTTATTTTTCATTTTTTTATAATTTCATACATATAACATAAAATTGAAATTTTTTTTATTTTTTAGTATTTTAATTTTGTATCTTTTGTTCAAGTAGGACAAAAAAATTTTAAAAATAAAAAAATTCCTCACAATAATTTTTTTAAAGTAAAATTAAAAAGTTTATTCTTTTTATTTATTATTATAATAAATTAGCATGTGTAATATAATATAAAAATATGAAATATTGATATAATTCTTTTATTTGTTATAAATTAATTATTTATTTTAATATCTTATGATAATGTAAATAAAAAAAAATTTAAGTTTTAAATATATCTAAAATAATTATAAACATATCTTTTTAAAAGAGAAAGAGGACAGAAGAAATAAATTTTATTTTTTAAAATTTAAATTTAATTAGTAATATTAAATATGTAACATATTTATTTTTACATGATAATTCCTTTCGTCTAAAATTCCTAGTTTTACCCTATTTAGACTTAAACATATTTTTAATTGATTTCTCAATTAATAGTTTTATTAATCTAGTTAGTCTTTGTTTATTTTTCATTAGTTGATAATTGTTTAGCTTATTTGTGTTGATTTTGGTAATAATTCTAAATATATTGTTTCGATTATTTTTATGTTTTAAAGTATTTTTCTTCGTCTAATTCTTATAGTTTTGTTACCCTTTGGTTTTTTTGAGTTTTTCATTTTCTCACTACCATGAGTTGAAATTGAATTTTTTACATCTTGCCTTTCATAGTAAAATTATTAATGAGTTGTTTGAAAATTCTTCTTAAGAATTAAAAAAAAAAAATAGTGAAAAGAGTGCATATTATATTATTTCAAGAATAATAGATGAGTTTGGTCATTTATTTCAAAACTTATAAAAATTCAAAAGAGATATTTATGGTCTAATATAGAGATGAATAAAAATTTATATTTGAACCAGTGATAGAATCAATAATGTAAAGCATAAAAATATAAGAAAACGTGATAATTTTTTATGGAAAGAATTAAAATCACGAATAGAACCAAGGATCACAATGAACTCATGAATCTATTCATATGAATGAGTATCGTTTTTTAAGAATTATTGTTTTTTATATAAGATAAGGCTATCTATGTTAGAAAAACACGATTATTAATCATGGAGATCCTTCTTAATAATTATTGTCTTTTTTTTTTTTTTTTGTCTTTCCTTTATTTATTTTGTATGTCTAAATCTAATAGTAAATTCTTCTTGAATTCTTTCATCTATATCCTATTTAGCATATGAAATGAAACATGTTGTCACTTATTTTAATAATATCTAGATTAACTAGTTTTTAGAGAAACTTCATATATTAAATTAGGCATAGTATAAAGTATAATTTATTATAATTTTATTATTAACTAGACGTTTAATATAAGTATTTAGTGTTAAATTATTCTTCACTCAACTTTATTTGTCAATAAAGATATTGACATATCTTAAGTTAAATCATTGTTATGTTTAACTTTGTGTAGCATATTAATTAATTATATATTTTATAAATCATAAAATACAAGATGTGATTTTTCTATTATATAAAATTATACCTAATGAAGTTTTAATTTTAAAATAAATAATTTAATTCCATAACTAGTGAGCTGAGTGTATCATTTACTCTGCATCTTAATTAATCACTTTTTATACATGACTAATTATAAAATTAATTTTACTTAATCATTTTGCGACATTTATAAATGTGAAATATCCTACCACACTATTATTTAAATATGACACATTTTAATATATTACATCGTAGTATTACATCGGACAATTTATATAACTGAGTACAAAACTTAAAATTAAAAAGAAATTATTAAAAATCAAAATTTATCTTTAACATTGTAAACAAAAAATACAAAGAAGATGCGAAGGAAATTATTTTTAATTTTCAGCATTTGTATGATTATATTGTAAAGGAAAAACAAATATTGATGATATTTTGAAAAAAATAATATATATATATATATATATAATTTTGTTTATTAATATTTATATTTTATAAAGTAATTTATTTAAAATAAAATTAAATAAAAATTATTATTTTATTAATAAAGTTTTTAAAGGATGTTTGTGCATAATAGGTTACAACAAAAACGAAAACGATCTGAATCAGATTTATGAATACCTGTATACCGAATAAATTAGGTGTAGAACAGTTGTTCGAAAATGTGGAAATCTAGGAAAAAAAATAATTTTTTAATTTTACTGACAGAAAAAATTTACATGTCATCACGAACACGACACATCGCATTCACACAGGCGTGGTGTTGAAATGCTTGACTCAATTCGCCACTCTTTTGTTTTTTCTTCGACGTACCATTCTAAATGTGCCAAACCCATTTTTGGACCCTACGCATACTCACTCCAAACCCTCTATACGAACAGGCTTCTACAAAAGGGTTTAAAGACCTCTCCTTTCCCAAACTTTGTCTCTTTCTACTTGAACCATCGCAACTGGAATTTTGAACCTTTCCCTCGACATTAATGCATGTAAAGACTCGAGCATTGATGCTTCGTATCAGTTTTTCGTTTGCACATTCATGTGAGTCATTGCATGCTTGTCTCAGTTTCAGCACAGTGATAAAAGGGTCTGTGTGAGTGTGACTTGAGGACGGTCCTTCCCTCAATTCAGTTCAAGGGTAGCCTTGTGTTCTTTTCATCTTGGAGAGCATGAATTTGCCTGTGGAGTGGATTTAAATTTTCAAACCATAAGTGGTTTCACCCTATTTGGCAAAAGTAAGGATTTTTGCAATTACAGTGAAGGGAGGGCACTTTATTTGAGGGAGCCAAAGGATGATTCAGCTGTTGTTCTTGGTGATTTTTGTTGAGGGGGTTCTGGCATTTCTTTTATTGGTGAAGATAGGACCATTGAGAGATCTTGTGATAAAGACCCTGGATCAGTTGAAGATGGGGAAGGGTCCAGCTACAGTAAAAACTATTGCAGGTACCATGTTTGTGATTCTCCTTTCAAGTCTCATGAGCATTGTCAAGATCCAGAACAAAGGTGCTAAACTTGGTACTATGTCTCCCATGGATCAAGTTCTGTGGAGAACTCACTTGCTAGAGGCTTCCCTTATGGGTGCGTTCCTGTTCCTGTTATCTGGGTTATTTGCATCCTTGTTCACTGTTTTAGTGCTTATTATACAATTCATGATTTTTGTTAGTATTAAAGCTCCAAGTTTTGATGCGCATTTTTTTTTTTTGCCTAACCCTTCTTGAATTAGGGCATCAATTGAAGAAGAGCCTTAGTTGTATGAATTGATTAATGTTTGATGCATTTTTCTGCTTACCGTTTTTGTCAGTTCTAAACTAAAAGGATTATTGTTAATGCACATGCCACTTCCTCAAAGAAAAGCTTTAAATCATGGGAGTGGTTGTGTTGCAGTTGTTGTAGGTTGACGTGGTGATACCACAATCACATCTGGTTATTTGGTGGATTGGTGGTTTTAAAACCTTTTATGAAAGACAATGAATTAATGTGCTAGGGTGTGTTACAGGCTGTGGTTTTCTTTAGGCAGTTCTTCTCATGCAATGAGAACATGTGTATAGATAGTAGAATAACATTGTTCTGCACATGGTTTTTGAGGTTGGTGTATCTTTCTCTAAACAATCTGTCAGGTTCATCACAAAAATGGTCGAATTTATTAATATCTTTCTTTAACTGTTTGATTAAGGCCTCTGAAAATTATATATTGTTGCTCTGTTATAGAACTTGTCATATAAAATATATCCATAATCTCTTCAATTTAAATAGAAAATGAGAAGGAATAATCTTCATATTAAGTTGCTATTACAAAATTGATACAACAAACATCCCATTTGTCTCACATCCCGACTTTGTTCTGTTTCATAATCTTTCTGAATTTAACTGTTGTATTGGACCTAAATGATTTACTTAGAGTTTTGTACAGGATTATGGAATTGTACCGTTGTATGTGGAATAGTGTTCTGTGTTCTTCATTCTTCAATCAAGATAACAGTTTTTGTTCCTAGATTCTGATCCATACCTTACACATATGCATTATACATGTATATAAGTAATATTTCATATTCTTAAATCTGCCAGCTTTTGTGATTAATCTCTAGATGATTTTGATTTTTAACATCATAGATATATGTTTGTTTAAGCATGTCTCATCAGTTTTAGAAATTTTCTTTCACTCCTTTGTTAATGATCTTTCACCCATGGTAACTTTGTGATGCACTTGAGATGATTACTGAATATTAGTATCACAAACTTACATTTGATATTGTTCTAAGAATGGGTTTGAACTATAGGGTCTATCAAACTAAGTCTAAGAACCAAAATCAAAACATAACAACATGAACTTTTTATATAGGTTGTCTTAGTATGTTCTAAGAATAGGATTCAACCAATTGAATAGTAGAAATCTCTCCAAAACACATGAACATAGAAATGGGTATGAAACCCATTTTTGAACCAATGATAGAATAAATAAAACAAACCCTAAAAATGTAAGAACACATGAATTGGTAGGCCTCAAGAAGAACACATGGCGGATGAGGTGACACAATACTAGATTTGATGCCAGTGCCGGGTGTTTCTATTTCCAAACTGGTTTGTTCATCTCCATTGGCACAAAAGGCAGTCCTTCAAAATCAAGTAAAAATGGAAATAGTGAATAAAGAAAGAGTTGGAACGATCCTTGTCTTTGATCTAGACTATCCTCTATCCGGATAGATATATTCCTACGAGTGACTACAGCGAATGCACTCGTGTTATTAAAATATATATTCCTCTTTTAAACTTATAGAAAAGTCAACCTAAAATAAACTAAATATTAAAAAGTAACATCTCTTGCATTTTCTTTGAGTATTATCATCTTAGAAAAAGGTTGAAAAATATGCTATATTTTAGACATTAGGTGTTAGACATATTGTGCCTACTCTGCGCTGATAAACTCAACCAAAGAAGATGAACCCAGCAGTCCAGAACAGAACTCAAGAAGGACCCATGACAAAATGAGCTGCAACTTGGAATTGTAATTGCCCAGCCTCAAGAAAATCATAAAATTGTGCTATGTCACTAAAGATCATGATTTTGACTATGTTGATGGTAGTATTGAGAACAGCACAGTAAGCAGTGTATATAGTAAGCTGATATGGACCTTGGTTGAATGATAACGAAACATCATTTTATGGTTATTCATCTCATGTTTCACGATCATCTGATTGAAGAAATATCTATGCAGGTCAACACATAATAAGGAAGATGTAATGAATTACAATAAATGCTTCTTAGTGTGTGCTAGGGGCATAATAACAAATACAAGTATACGGCTTTTCATCTTGTACTGCGTTTTTAGTTAGAGGTTTTCTGTAGAAATTTCAGAACTTTTGTTAGGGAATTTTTCAGTCTGGAGTTATACTATCTCTTAAAATCTGGACAACTTTTCATAACTAAGGTTCTAATAAGTAGAATTTAAGTATTGGAAGTAGTATCTGCATCATCTGTGGCAATGTTTTATTAATTATTTTTTTGGTAGAGATGGCTGTTGTATGTGTTTTATTTGTAAGTGACATTTTTATTGTTATTTGTAAAAGCCATCTTAAACTAGATTATCTTGTCATAAATGAATTTTTTTTGGTCTTGCAGGTTTTACATTATTCCTTGGATTCCTAATTGATCGTATCCACCATTATCTTCAAAAACTTGTCAATTTAAGGAGTAATGCAGGAGCTTCAAAAGAAGAATTGGAAAAACTTAAAAGGGAAACTGTCCAACTTAGAGAAAAGGATGGGAAATCTTCCACGGAGATAAAACAGCTGAAGGAAGAACTTTCACTTGTGTCTAAAAGTTTGAAAAAGATTAAATTGGAATCTGAAGAGAAGGACAAGAAAGTTGAGACTGCTGAAGCACATGTTGCTTCCCTCCAAAAGCAAGCCGCAGATCTACTACTTGAATATGACAGACTCTTAGAAGAGAATCAAAATCTTCAGGCTCAAACACTGGGACATAGGAGTTGAGGAATGACTAAGATGCATTGGTAAACAAAGTCTTGGGGTGAGATTTCATCATATGATCGTCCCTAGTTTGGCTGCAAAATCTTTATTTGAAAAAAAAAAAAAAAAAAAAACTTTTTTGTCCTTTTTGAAAATGCAAGATTGACCAGAAGAGCTCTCAGCTAAGTTTACAAGTTTTGCAGTTCTTTTCAGTTTGTTCTCACTTTTGTTATTAGATCGATGCTTAACAAATGCCCCATCTTGTTTTTTGTTTATGCATCAGATTAATTATGTTGACTCCTTTAATGTAAGAAAATTAGTATTTAACTGGATATGTTTTGCATCACATTAGTTCATTTGAATATAACAAACTATGAATCTTTCCTTATTAGAGATTCTATTAGATGACTTGTTTACGTATATTTATTTTCTCTTATATAACAAACTATGATTAGAATGTTTGAAATTTATTAGACTGATTTGATTTAATAAAATTAATTAATTGATTGAGTAATATAATTAGTTATTTAATTTTTTATTAAAATTTAATAAAAATAAGTATGAATTAAAATTGAAAAAAGTTAAATATAAAATAATTATTTTATAAAATTGAAAATAATATTAAAAAATTATCAAGTATAATTTTTTTTTCCACATATTAATTTAAAAAGGAAAGTATAATAAAAAAATTCAACTGAAAAATTGAACTACACAATAATTGACAGACATATATTTAAGTAAATTAAAAATAATGTTTAAAAACAGCTTTAATTTTATTGTAAAAAGAAATATAAATTTACATGTTAATAATATTTAACCAAATATAACTATCAACATTATTCTCGAATATAGCAAAATAAAGTTCAACTTAAACTATCAATTTATTTTAATTTCATACATTTCGTGATTTTCTATTTTTTATGCATTTAAATTTTACATATAATACATTTCAAGAACATTTCCGTGGCTGGTGTATAAATAATATATAAAGAACATTTCAGTCAAAGTTTATCAAACCTAAACACTTTGTCCTCAATACTCCTTAAACATGAATTAATTTACACTTAATTAGACTTTTTTTTACTTGAATAAAAAATATATACTTAACTATAATATAAAATATTAATTCAGTGGCCCTTAACAAATCAATGTTAGTTCATGACTAATAGGAGAGTTTGTAGCAAGTTAATAAGAAGAAAAAGAAAAAAGAAAAAGAAAAAAACTCAAAGTAAATATTATTTTTCAAATATAAGCATTTAAATCTTACTAAGAGAGAGAATATTAATAATTAATATATTCATTTACTACTATTTAATATTTAAATATATTTTTCTTATAAATATATCACTTTTTACTTTTATTTCTTATATTTTTTTATAATAATATTTTATTTTATGGTCTAGCATTTTACGATAGTGTTAATGTGATATTTTATGACTTGAATTATTTAAGAAAATACACTTAACAACATCATCATTACTTCCATGGTTTTTTTTTAATTTTATTTTAGGAAGTCATGAAAATAAAAAAGTAAAATGAGTAGAAATAAAATTTAAATAAAATGGTGGTAGAAAAATTAAGAGAAATATATTTTTTACTTCTATAATTTTTTTCAACTATTTTTAATTATTGCATTTTCAAATTAATTAATTTAATCCATTAATTTTTAAAAATATATTATTTTATTTTTTTTAAATGTATATTACTGATACTTGTTTACTGTACAAAATTAATAATTAGTTTTATAAAATATGTAATTTTAGTTGCTCTTTGTATTTAAATTTAATATTACATATTTTTTTCAACCAATCTTTACAAAAAAAAGTAGAAGGATAAAAATGTATTTTAAAGAGAAAAACTTAGCGTAATTATAAAATAAAAGTATATTCAAGTTTTTATATAATTTATTTGTATTTTTTATAGGAAAACTAAAAGATTAATTTTATAAAATCAAAATTAACGCCGTCTGTGGGAATCGAACCCACGACCACGTGGTTAAAAGCCACGCGCTCTACCAGCTGAGCTAAGACGGCGCACATTCAAAATTTTAAATATTTATTATATATTCGTGTCTTACACACGAAGTTTAAAAATATGTGTTTTTATCTTCGCTCTCTTCTGATTCGTACCCTGATCGACGATGGCGGAAATCTCCGATTCTCCATCAACTTCAAAACCCGTAGAAGAAAACACGCAATCCCTGACGCCACAAGTCGATCCCAAAGCCACGCGAAACACAAAACCCGGAATCAAACGCCTCATCATCAGTGTCTCTGTGCTCGTCTCATTCATTCTAGGTCCCTTTCTCTCTCACACTCTTCTCTTCTTCAAATATTTTACTATTTATTTACTAATTAATTAATATTTTTGGTTGTTGCAGGGTTTCCTCTTCTGTGGAAATCCATCGAAATCTACCGCGCGCCTCTCCCTTTCGATCGAATCGACTCCTTCTCATCCCAAGTCGAAGGGAATCCCCTGTCCTTCCCATGCCGCTTTCAAGTCATTTTCATCGGTTTCGAGTTCAAGGCTTCGCACCGCGAGGTGGGAGCAGCGATCACGAGGAAAATGTTGGACCTAGGTCGCGGCGGCGACTGCGGAGGTTGCGGAGGCAATTACTCCGTAGCCGTGGCGGTGGAAAGGGGTGACGTTGGTGCGTTCGATTTTGGTGGGAAGTTGCGGGGTGGTGACGAGGATGCTGATGAATGGGTGAGGAGTGTGGTGAGTGAGTACGGAGGAGGGAATGCTTATAGCGTTGTGTTGGTTAATGAAGAGGGAGAAGTGAGGAGTGTGGTGGGGAAGTATCGGCACGCGTGGATCGTGGGGCGGGTTGAGGAGGAGGAGGCGGTTTTGCGTGTGGCTGAGATCTTTGTTAAGGTATTTGTTAATGGAGCGGACGAGGAGGGTTCGGTTCGCAGCGAGTTTATGCCTGTTGGTGCTGATGGGAAGATTGTTCTGTCTTTCAGTTTGCTCAATGCAGACCCGCGAGATTGGATATATGATTGGTATGAATTGTGAAATGGAAATTTGCTCAGATTGGTATCAATTGTGAAATGGAATGATTGTGGTTTTTTTTTTTTTTTTTTTCTGTTTTATAAAGAGTTGATGTATGATTCGATTCATTAAGTACGGTGCAGTTTGTGTTGCATTGTTACGAGGAAGTTTTCATTTATACAAATTAGTTCTTAGAGAGATGAGATTATTTGCTAGTTGATGACTTAGTAGGGGAACCTTCTTATCGTGTTGACACTTTTGGAGATCCGTTCTATAGATGTGCATATTCATGAACCAATAATACCACCCTATTGTAATTGTAAAATATTTACTTATGAAATTTGAGGCAGATACAGAATGCACCTGCTCCAATTGGTGCCAGAGTTGGTGATTTTATGATTGGGTAAAGGCAAAGATTAACGTGCTCATGTTAAAAATTCACTGAACCTGTTATATAAATGTAGGTCCTATCATTTCCTGTCAGTTCAGGATTATATGCTAATGAATCTTTTGAATCGTATCAATTTGAAGTTTTTGTTGTGATGATCATACTGTAGGAATTTTCGTGAAATTGACGAGACTTTGTTACAACCGGTGATTGAGGCTTTACAACCCCTAGCAAACATCAGTGTTGAAAGCCAGGTGAAGTTTCTTAAATGTATCAATTTTTACAAGAGTCATTGGATCCCATAGATTAATGATTAGTTGTTTCTCCAATTTGCAGGTCTTGTACCATACGCCAAAGTCTTCATTTTCTTACTGGGATGATAAGCATGGCAGCCACATATTTACATCCAAGGATCTTCCTTTCTTTGTATGTTCTGTCCATGGTTTTGAATTATGGTTTATAATAATCAGTTTCATTTGAACACTATTACCATGTTTTTAGTTCTAACTTGTAACCCAGCAAACATAATGGAATTGGTCATTCAAAGTTTTTTTTTTCATTTTTTTAAGTAATGTTCGAGCTCTCTTATATTTGGTTCTTTTTATATGGAAACCTACTATACTGTTTTTTTTCCATTGTATATTTTTCTCATATCTGGTGGGATAGTAAAATAGTATTTTTATGCCATGAATGATTCTATCTGAAACAGGTGAATTCAAATGAGTGGCACTTGGATACTTCTGTTGCAGCAGGAGGAAGGTCAAAAGTATTGCAACTTGTGGTGTATATTACTCGATCCTAAATTTATTTACCTTTTTATCACCTGAACATAGAATTTGTTTTATTCAATTTACTGTATATAGTCTTTAGTATTGGTGGTGGGGCGAGAAATTACTTCTCAAGTGTCTGATTCCAGCTTGTTTATTATGTTATGCTGTAAGACAGCTTACACTTTAAGCTTTCTTTTTATGTCAGGTATATACCGTCTGCAAAGGAGTGTCCTCTTCAACTGAAGCTTCCAAATGGAGATATTTCTAAAACTAACGGCTTTATATCTCCAGTTATTCATCGTATTTCACAATTTCTTTATAATCTTGTATTATGAAGTCTGTTAATGTTATGAAGTACCTATTCTGGAATGTTGCAGATGTGGGGAGGTGTTGTTGTCTGGAATCCCCAAAGCTGTATAAAAGATTTGGAAAGTAAGGATCCAGTTAGAAGTACAATTTCTCCCCAGGTTTGTCTTCTACTCATTAGTTGGTTATTTTGTTGACAATGATTTCTTCTCATTGTTTACTTTTATACACTAGTATTTTGTAACTTTTTTATTTCAAGTGTGATTCACTGATACACTTTCAGCCTTGGTTTGCTTTTGATAGTAATAATTGATACATTATCATTCTAAGGCATTTGATTTCATTAATTTGGAAAATCATTTTTTACATTTTATAAAACAAAGAATTTAATGCCAGTTATGTATGCATATATACTTGGTGGATGTTTGAAAATTGCTTAGTTTTAATTAATAATCATTTAGAAATGTATGCTCATGAAGCTGGTGAAACATGGCAATTATTTATTCATATTAAGCTTATCTTGACATGCATTTTATAGTCCCATTGTTGTCATTAATTCTCTTGCCAGT